AATAATCAGCAAGATACTTAAAATGCAATATGATAGCAGTAAAATTAAATTACATTGAACACTATCAAGATTTATGCATCAGCATTAACAAAAGTCATTTGTACAATGACAGTACCTCTCTCTCTCTCTCTCTCTCTCTCTCTCTCTCTCTCTCTCTCTCTCTCTCTCTCTCTCTCTCTCTCTCTCTCACTCTCTCTCTCTCACTCTCTCTCTCTCTCTCTCTCTCTCTCTCTCTCTCTCTCTCCCTCCCTCTCTCTCTCCCTCCCTCTCTCTCTCCCTCCCTCTCTCTCTCTCTCCCTCCCTCTCTCTCTCTCTCCCTCCCTCTCTCTCTCCCTCTCCCTCTCCCTCCCTCTCTAGCCTTGAACACATCCTTCCATCTACTTTCTCTCCCCCCCACACCCCTCTGCTAAAGTATTTGTTCATATCTTTTTACACGCCTGTTCGTATCACTTGTACATATCTATTAACATATATCTCTTTCCGTATCTGTTCGCCCCCGTTTACTTCTTTGTTAACATGTCTCTTTGACGCATCAGTTTCCGCAATCCATTATTTGTTTACTGCGTATCTGTTGACGTGCGTTCACCTGTCCCCTCACAGATCGGCGTGGGCCTCCTCTCCAACCTGGTGACTTTCCCCCCCACGCTCATAATCATACAGCTGTTCCGCAAAGTGTCGCCCAAGTACAAGAGAGTGTCCAGGATTCAGAAAGCGATGGATAAACAACGTGGGTAGATATGATGAACGATGGATGTTGTGGTTGGTCTCAGGGCGTGGGGAGATGAGTGTGCGTGTGCTGGGGTGTGTTTTGTAAAGGTGTGTGTGTGTGTGTGTGTGTGTGTGTGTGTGTGTGTGTGTGTGTGTGTGTGTGTGTGTGTGTGTGTGTGTGTGTGTGTGTGTGTGTGTGTGTGTACATGATTTAGTTAGCTCAGTTTCGTGCTCATGTATTATTTGTGTATGTATACAAACATACTTATACACACACACACACACACGTTCCTGACCCGAGCTCCTCCTCCAGGCGCCGAGAAGAAGCGTGAGGCGGAGGAGAGGCTGAAGTGGCGGCGCCTGCGGGGGGAGGGCGACCCCCAGTTGCAGGCCGAGTCGGGGGAGGTTGGGGACAGGAAGGGCTCCCGGCCCAAGCCCAAGATCACCAAGAAGAAGAGGAAGGAATTGCCTTGGTGAGAGTCGTGTTTTTTATATCTTATTTTCTTGCATCTCCCGTTTTTTTCCCGTTTTCTTTCCTTTCTTTTCTCTTCTTTTCTTTAACTTCTCACTGTTTAAAATTTCAGCCTTGTTTCTATTACTCCAAAATCCTCTCATTTATTTGTTTACTATTTTTAAAAAATCACTTGTATGCTGACTTCAATCGCCTCCCGTTATTTATTTATTTATTTTTTGATTCAGTCGGTTTCCACTTATTTTTCTTACCTCAATCGCCTCCTACTTTTTTTCCCTTTACGTCACGCCACTTATTCTACCTCTCCTTTCCCCTCCCCATCGCTCCTTCCCTTACCCCAAGCTCACTCCTTCCCTCATTTCCATTCTTTCCTTAAACTTTATCCTCCACTTCCTTCCCCTCGCCGTTATCCTTCCTCCCCCAACCCTACCCTCACTTCACCCCTCCCTCCCTCTTGCCCCCAACTCGAGGCTCAATCCGCGTTACCTTTCTTTCTCGTTTCCTCCCCTTTATCTCTCCAGTTCTTTCTCTCCCCTTTATCTCTCCACTTCTTTCCCTCCCCTTTATCTCTCCACTTCTTTCCCTCCCCTTTATCTCGCCACTTCTTTCCCTCCCCTTTATCTCTCCACTTCTTTCCCTCCCCTTTATCTCTCCACTTCTTTCCCCTCCCCTTTATCTCTCCACTTCTTTCCCCTCCTCTTTATCTCTCAACTTCTTTCCCGGACCCTCTATCCCCTACTTCTCCCCCACCCCCCCCCTTTATCTCTCCACTTCTTTCCCTCCCCTTATCTCTCCACTTCTTTCCCCTCCCTTTATACCTCCACTTCTTTCCCCTCCTCTTTTATCTCTCAACTTCTTTCCCGTCCCCTCTATCCCCTACTTCTCCCCCCCCCCTTTATCTCTCCAGTTCTTTCCACTCCCCTTTATCTCTCCAGTTCTTTCCCTCCCCTTTATCTCTCCAGTTCTTTCCCTCCCCTTTATCTCTCCACCTTCTTTCCCCTCCCCTTTATCTCTCCAGTTCTTTCACTCCCCCTTTATCTCTCCAGTTCTTTCCCCTCCCCTTTATCTCTCAGTTCTTTCCCCTCCCCTTTATCACCCCACTTCTTTCCCCTCCCCTTTATCCCCCCACTTCTTTCCCCTCCCCTTTATCCTTCCACTTCTTTCCCGCCCCCTCTACCACCCCCCACACTTCTTTCCCCTCCCCTTTATCCTTCCTCTCCCTCACTCCACCTTCTCCTCCGCCAGGTGGATGCTGTACGTGGCCTGGTTGGTCGCCATCCTCTCCATCGGCGCCGGCGGGTTCTTCACCTTCGCGTACGG